TCCATATAAGAAACAAACATCATGAACATTGATCTGTACGCTTTGTTCAATTTGATATATGCAAATAGAATTGTGCACCGGTATGGTGTTTCACATAGGTTTGTGCTTGCCTTAGTATTTTACGAGGGTTGGCTGAAAAGTTCTAAATCTAATTAGGATATTTCAATCGGATTGAAACAACCCTCTGCTTCCAACAATTAGTAAATTTGGGGCCTATCTTTGCAAGCCCCCAAACAGGTGCAGAAAAGTAGGACGTAAAACTGCATGACAATTCGTTTCATTTATTTAAGAAAGCGGTCAGTGCTTTTGCATTACTGGTGCTGTATGGACTCGGTCCTCTGAAAGGTGTTTTCCTGATGGACAAAAGAAGGGGCAAGATTATTATAAGATGTCTTGCTGTTTGGAAAAACCATTCCAGAGAAAATTGCGAATGTCAATTTTCACGCCGGACGTACGAGTATCTTGGGAGAAACTAATGAATCGGACATAAACAATAGACACGCCATTCTTTCATGGAACATGTGTGAATTATGTTGATTGTGTGGATGAATACTCGGTTATGACTGGTCACTGACTGATACAGTGGCTACTTTAATGTCCGGTTTGATGGGCATTCGTCATATAAGATTAATAATAATAACACTTATATCTTTATTGGGTCATTCATTAAACCAGACCTGTTACAATTTAGCCCTTCAACAAACAAACACACACACCTGTTGATATACCGTGCACAACTGTGAACAAATGGTTTTTTTTTACTATAACCCCTTTTGCATTGGCATCTATTTAGGAAATCGTAACTGTGCCCCAACTTAGTGGTACACACAGATCTATATCAGTTTTCCAAGATCCCTGTCCAACTGTTTCGATTCATCGTGTATGAAACTCTATGATCAACATGACTAATTTCCCATGTACTTCAGGTAAGGTAAGTAAGATTTTTCTGTCATCATTCGGCAACCCTCGTCAGTTACCGTAAATCTGACTTTCACGTTTGTTCTTTCATAACGACCCGAGCCATCGTTTCCTCGTGCGACCAGTATAGCTAGGAAGCAGGACATGGATATTAAATACACGTCCGAGGTCAATACATACCAAGTTCTAATGTTGCTGATGACTTCAACAAAGCGTAGGCAGAAGCTTTCTGAAGAAGATTATTGGCTGCGATCTTTTCGAACCAGGAAGTTGCTCTGTAGGAAAATCTGAATGAAACATGTTTATATTTGATCGATTATGCTGACATAATTGTGTTACAGACCAAACTATACGTAGAATAGATATACCTTACTTCCTGAACAGACAATAATTGGTGTGCAGAAAAGCCTACGCGTTACGTGTCAGATCAGACCTGGAACCTCAGATCGTACATTGATAGTTTGTCTCATTACAAGATTTCAACATTACACGCCTATAATAAAGTTGCATTACGTATCAAACTCCTCCCTGTTTAAATGAATGGATACGACATCTTTCATCAAGCTGCCAATCTTTACATTGGTAAAAAAACATGCCTATCCGTAAGGAGCAATGTGTTATATTCGTCGACGATGAGTTCTAGTCTGATCACAGAAAACTGCCATTGTCTCAAGGTCTAGCTGCTCGCTGGACCAGTGACGTTTCTACAGTCACACCATCGCGGAAACCATTTGGCGTAAAAGACTCAGTTCGGTATTTTTTGTGGGTCACTTCATTATCAGTTTAATCAGAATGATAATAAATGAATAAATATGAAAATCATAAAGCCTACACCAAACGTCTTACAACGTCAATAGTATTTATAGATAAATGTCAGTGAAAGAAAAAGGATCGGTCTCAAGGCCATATACTTATTTCATCTTACATTGCGCCTACTTATGATCTACTCAGTTATTACGAGGGCGACTTGACTTGGTGACATCATGATTAAAAATATGTATTGTCTCAGCTTATAGAGGACAAATCAAAAAACAAAAATTGGAAAAAAAGAATAGGGGAGTTTTTGATTCCGCAGAGACTTTTAAAAAGAAATTACATTTCCATCTGAACTTCTATGGTATAAGAATACTCTACACAAGCACAATTTGCAAAGGAAGATTCGAAGAAAACACACATAACAATGTGGATAGCTAAGTTGCATGATTGTCGTCAAAGTTTGGATGCTGCAATTCGAACATATCCTTTTAAGAACATTTTTTCCACAATTTGGACTCAGTGCAGTTTATCGCCCTCTGATTCAAATGGAACTGACTTATATATTCTTATATACCCACAATTACCAATTCGGTTAAGTCCCTAGGCGAAAACACCCTTAAGAATATTATACCCGTCATATGATGTCAATAGGCTATTTATTGCATCGTATCTACGCTTGGAAAATGTCAACTACAGATATAAGAAACAAGCCCTGGGGACATTTTTATGTACTAGTTGATGGTATCCACGGTAATATAGGTAAACTCGTTCGACTACTTAACTTTACAGCAATAACAAGTTATAGCTACCCTTAAAAATATGAGATAATTTTAATCATTGTCAGAGAGAAGATAGAAATACTCGAGTTAAATTTTTGAAATGGAATTCACTTTAGCTTTGTTGTATTTTGTTGGAATGGTGCATATCCATGGTAATGTCTGTATTTTATTATCGAAGTATTTTTAATGAATTTCTGCGCGATACATGCGTATACGACATGGTTAAATTCGTTTTTCATAAATCATAAGCGAACATTCTGTAAAGCCTTACGGTTGTTTCTAAATGAAATGTGAAATACTTACTCACTCATATGGATATACTAATTTTGGATTTTGGGCTTCGTTTTTCAGTTCGGATCGTTAGTACATGGTTAATTTATATAACATTTTTAACCGAATATATTCAGATCATCATATATATCTATAATTGATATATCATGACGTGTAATTTCAGGTCATGGAAGTTCATATTTGCCGTCCGATTGTAACGTAGATAATTGTGTGAATTCATTATCAAGAATTAACAAGACTAATCAGGAATCATATTGTTCGTAAGTTATATAATATAATTAAGGTGATTGTTAAGGTGATTTGAGGCGAATCTCGGTGAGCCTTGGCAACAGAGCAATTAAATGCTGGTACGATAATATTTGATTATCGATACAGTAAAATAAAGAAGCCGATCATTGCAATTTCAACCTTTTTATTTTTATTTCACCTTTCAGAATCCTTTATCGATTGCATTACCCCCTTCGCTTTTAGATCCTTACTATTTCGTGAGTTTTCCTTGCAATCTTTTTCATTTATAGATTATAAAAAGAATATAGACTGAACAGAATTACTTAGTTTATAATTGCAAATAACGTCATATGCAGCAAGATGCAATCAAACAGTTTTTAATACTTTAGTATTTTTCGCCGTTCTTAACACAATGAGTTTCTCTGCATCGGTTCCTGCACCGCCGTGTGTTTACAAGGACAGGTGATTGTCCTAGTCACAGAGGGATTCCCTAGGAAATGTCCCTCATATATGAAAGTGAGCACGTGTTTTTGCAGCGGTTTGGTGACTTCCTGGATATGTCTTGAAAGGATTCTGGGTAATTGTTATCAGCTATTTGAAGGTTATGGTAAACCGGAAGTGAACGAAATGGTCACCAACATCACCTCTCTTATTGACGACCAATGTGATTATAATAATTCAGGTAGGTGAAAAGGATACAGTCCTTATTTTCGGCAACATGTTGCGCAGATGCCATGTTGTCGAAAATATTGTTAGTGTGTACATTACTTAATGTAGTATAGCATACAAGCTAATAGAGATTTAATTTTGATAACATTATCGTTTTTCAAAATCTAAATATTAAGGAAATCGTTACCATTTATTTTTGCATAAGCAGGTGTCTGATTATCAATTGTAAGAGGGAAATGATGGGATTTAACAACATATCAGATAGTGTATCAGTATGTTCAGCCCTGCAGGGACCCCAAGAAGGACTACGTATCCTGATCCAAAATCTTCCATCAAAAGAAAACTGCCAAATCCTGAACTGAAAATTGGAGTTGTTCAAAGTTAAGATTAATAACTTTTACACTCATTCTTTTTCACAGCCACAAATAAATTAGTTTCATAAATAATAGATTTAATTATAGAAATGTTGTCTGGCCTCTTCATGATGTTCTTTAAATTCGTTTCAGGTTCAAGTATAACAAGAACTAACACATGTATTCTATCGTCTATTGTGTTAATGCTATTCTTCATTGTTTATAATAAATGATTATTCAAATACAAACATGTGTTATTATCCCCACACAGATACATTTACCACTTCATTACTTTTTATTTTTTGTTTATGCCACTCGTAGAACATTTCAGTTGCAAGTATATATTTAGTTGCGGTATTTGAGTTAAAGGGAGATAAGTATCAATTAAAGGGGTGTTTTTTGGACTAAAGAACACGTTAATCTCAAGGTCTACAGCAAATTAGAATAATAACCCTGTTTCTCTCCCGATTCTGTGTATTGGAATGTCTAGTTAAAAGTTGATAGTTGATAGAAAAGGCAAAAGGAATTCTGGAAATATCGTTTTATATAAAATATAACAATTAAAACAAAGTAAAAACAACAGACAATATGCAAACATATGGCCATTGCGGAACTTCAAGGCCTACAGTTACACACGATTAAAAATATTGCGTTAAGATCAAATATCTGGGTTGATATCTTATAAAACCTTCCAATAACCAACCTTCCTTTGACCAGTATCTCACTTATATAATCAGCCCATTGGAATAAAGACCGAACTGGGTTAATGTAATGTTCAGTGATGAAGATATATTCAGGCTTCCACACGCCTGATAAATGCTGTATAATTGACTTTGGCCAATCTGAAATGCAGGTCTGGTGTTTCTTCTCTGACTACACTCGCCATCAATGGCGCCATCAATGGATTACAGAAAAAAAAAGAAACGAAACACCCAGATCTTCATTTTGGTCTTTAGAGGGACTACCCGAAAGTCCCCATGTTAGAATATTCTCTAATACTTTTCGTTCAATACTGAAAAGAGGCCTTGACTTTCCGATCGTTTAAGGGTTGCGTTGGCCGAAAGTTGTCCACCATTGCACCATCGTCCCCGGTTTTAGGGTTGTCACCTTTTGAAAATGTTCTTAATCTTCGGAACTCTTCAATCTGGAGGTAAAAAAATAAAACCTTCATAAACATTGACATAGCATAGTTACAAGTGATGAGTAAGTCAAATCAATTGAAATGACCTCTAGTGATGATTAATGGCGATGACATGCACTGAATTTTAATTTGGCACCATTATCCTATCAATAACTGTATTTAAAATGCGTAGAGGCGGGATTGCGATCTATACGTTTTTAGGGAAGCTTTTTTGTGGTGGCTACAGAGCATTCCGTAGCATTCTCCTAAAATTGGACTTCTATGTCTATACTTTCGATCTGAAAAATGAAGTAAGTGTTCATATCTGACCTGGGCGTGAGATACCATTAACGGGTACCGTAATAAAATCCACTGCACGTTTTCAGAACATGGAGGTGACGTCACAGATCCCTCATACGTCCAGTAATCTCTCAATAATGGATCTGAAATGAATAAGATAAGGGGTTGGTATTAACTAAAAGTGTACCACATGCTTATCATTATTGGTTTTAGATGGTGATGAGAACATATGTCCTATAAAGGCATTGACCAAGGTCATAAAGCCAAGCGAGTCTTAAAGGTAAGATAAATTTCAAGCACATAAATTAAATTAAAAATAAATAATATGGGGATTTGCTATCGTGGTTCAATCACAATAGAAAGATGTAATCTTTATGTTATTGTATATTGAAGGTATGAAATAAAGGAGAGAAGAGACAAAATGTTACAATATAAACGAATAAAGTTATTAAAACTTAACAAGGCTGCTTTTTAACTGAATTTGAGTGCACAATGTCACGACGACAAGGGTAGTTACCGATACAAGAACAATCTCTGACATATAGAGCATATGGTGTTCAACAGGCTTGCAGATGGGACAATGGCTGCTTTCTGTGGTCAGTTTCCTTACCTGGCAATAAACATGTTGGATTAAACGCTGAAGTCACTGTTTTCTGTCTTCCCTACAAGAAAAATCAACAATTTATTGTTATTGTCCCATCAGTACTTTAGACGACTTTGCCTATGTCATCGCCTTACCTGACCTGAATCACTGGCAGGACTGGTATCTCAACCGATGCCTGAGCTGAACGTTGCAATTCTATATAGTTAGTGAGTGAACGTCCACCTCACTGAACCACTGCTGCTCTTTGCAATTAGTATGTAATAAAATGTCTCATTTCGAACTCCCCAAAACTCCACTTATTCTCACAAATTCATTGATCATATTTGACCTACCTTATATAACACATCTTCTAAATTATCAGTGATCACTCTTAAAGCAGTGTGCTCTCTGCCAATCTGTTAGAGATCCGATAGAATTGGATTAATACAGTGTTTACTAATATATGAAGGTCGTTCATGTTCATGATCATGATCCGAGATCACATTGATATAGCGATGCAGAAATCATGCAGAGATAGAGAAACAACACCGCCAAAGTTGAGTACATAATGATTGACATGGTACGATGTTAGTAAGAGAGTTCCCACCTCTTGCAAGGAACGGTTATTGGGATATATATCACAAGGAGAGTAATGAATTGGATTCACATAAATCCAAATCGACAAGATCAATATCTATGCAGACAAAATCAACGAAATGAAATATCTAATACGCTCACACTAGAACATTATTATTCTAAAAGGACAAATTAAGCTTACCTGCGTAAAAAGGGAAACTATAACAATACCATGTGGACTCCCTAAGGCTTCTTCAATGCTTGAATATTTTGTAGCGTTCCAGTGTACTATCTGAACCTGAAATGAAAAGGTTTTGTGGAAACTTCATTGGAAACATATTCATCGGAAGCTGCAAAGCCTCAGAAATGTTCGATTTCCCGAACACTCGACATCACATCTCTTTTTGAGAGTCCACTTATCTAAGATATATGTTTCTCCGATACGGAAATACAAACATTAGCAAGCCGGGGATAATTTTGAACCAATCTGTAACTAATCAAATTTAGTACCGGTTTCTTGATAAGCCCATCAGTTAAAGATGTTCGTTTCTAGGAAACATTAGGTGAGGGGTCCCTATTCGTCCACACTGTAAAATGATACAAAAATGGAAAGTGACCTGTCTCTTTTTTGGAGGGTGGAAGGAGGAGGGCATTCTTCACCCCGTAGACACGCCTCTTGTAAACTTACCTCCATCGGAAAAGCTTTACCATTAACTGTATGTTCAGAACCCCGAGTATTATCTCGACCCCAATGGAATCTAATTTCAGCCAGTTCATATTCGTTATCTGGTAGTAGAGGACCTCCTGTTAATACTGTGGAAAAAAATATCGTCAACTTATTTCATTAGAACTATAGTAATGAAAGAGAAAGAGACCTGTCTGTCAGGAACACCAAGTCACATTTTACCACTGTGTTTGTCATTCCTTTTACAAGAATCAACATCTTAACTGCAGCTCTTGTTATTTTGACTCTTACAAAGTGATACTGGCAGGGGGCAAGAATAGAGGTCCATTTACAGTATCGAAGAAATCAATATTATGCAATGTATTATCATTAGAAATATTATAGTCAGATTTAGATACAAGCTTCAGATTTTTTTTAATAGTATTTGGGAATTCATAGTCGTTTCTAAAATAAGGAAAAAAATTGGTTGTTACTCACCATGTTTGACTCTAGGAAAGACAGCTAATGTATGACCATTGTTTAAAATATCAGTTTCTCTGCTAATGCAATAGTTAAACATTAAACTGTTCTTCTCTAAATCTGAATCAGTGACAGCATCTTGTGAGACCAGGTTGACGGGTGATTGACAAGATCCGGTAGCCTCGGGAAATAATGTCCCCCATTCATGACAACCTAGAATCAGAAAGATTTAAAAATCATATAAAATTATGGATATTGATAAATCCATTATAGAGGCAAAAAGGGCTTCTTTCAAGACGATTTGGAGATTGTCCTCAAATTAATGAAAACTATACACCAAAATCTAGAATCAGCAAGGTTTAACAGTCATGTAAAACAAACGAATATTGGTAAAAACCCTTCAATCGTATTCAGATTTCAACATGAAACGTGTAGAATAAGCAGCATACGATTAAGGAGGACGTCATTGAAGGAAAAGAGAAGATAACACTGTGGTCTAAAACCACATGTTGTAGTATTTTAACTATGATCCGATTTAAATCTATATTTTATTACCAATGAGAATAAGAAAACCGACCAATATAACATTCAGAACAACAATCCAAGAGTTTAAAATGATTTTCCCACTGGTCCGTTTAGAAATAAAACGACATATACTAATCCAAACTACAATATAAGAGTTTGAAATCCAGGAGAATCTTAAATGCATAAGAATTCATGACAGATATCAAAGACATAAACCAAAAATCAAAATGGTGTACATAGCATCGTGAAAGAAAAATATTTACCTAGATATGAAATAGATTGTTGTACATCCATTATACAGGGCTAGTTAATGCAAGTCATGAGTGGGCTACTGAACACAGTGAAGTATATTGATATCGGAAACAACCGGGTCTGATCTGATACTATTGGAATGTGATATAACTTACTACATAAATTCAATAGATAATTATTATCAGAATCCGTCAAGAAATAACAATTAACTGATTGTTACATCAAACCTTTTACTCTCATCGTTTATTGAGTATTATTGAGTCCCCTTTATGACAACATTACTGTGAGGGTTTTGTCTCTGACCCAATACCACTAGATTTCCTTTATACATTGAAGGTTTTGTGGAATCATCGCACGAACCCATGTGATCACGTTTTGAGTTTGTGTTTGAGTTTGAACTTGAGTTTGAATTACGCTGGCGTACTCATGAAATCGCAAGTACCATAATTATTATATTCCAGTTGGAAATAGGTCAATGTCTTTTATAAAGCAGAACCTTCCGACACCCATATAACTCAAACGGTTCCAAATATCGGTCCGGAGACTGCTCTGACACCTGGGCCATAAAAAAAACAGACAATTTAAAGGATAGATCATTTTCATTCATTCTGGTACAAAAACTTTTACCTTGAATGCCATTAGGGTACATGGTACATAAAAATGACATGGATTAGATATTATTGGGTGGCAATTCAACTTTATTCAACACCTTTTTTCTGTATTTTCTGTAAACAACTACATTGTACAATAGCATACATGTATTAGATTATATTCGGAAAAAAGATAACGTGATGAGATTTGAATCATTGCCAATTGCAGCTTCTATGTATATAAATGCATCAGGAGTTTAGTCAATATTAGAGCTGCTATCAGTAAATGATCTAACAACTTAACTTAGGGCAGAAAAAGCTAGTTTTCATATTCCCATGTATAAATAGTCGTTAAATGTATTATACCGTGAAATATATGAAATGTTAACATCTATTATTTATAAAGCAACTCATGTATATTATACAGAAATAAATATATACAAAATACCTATCGACGTTATGTTATGGTGCGAATCTGTAATATTAACAGAGATAGAGGGGAAGGGGGGAAGGGGGTAGTAGAGAGCGAGAGGGCGAAGGAAAAATCCTTCGAAAGATCTATGAGATAGTTATCAAGTGAGCTGGCGAGTAATGGATAAGACAAAGGCAAAAGCAATGACAAAGGAAAGGAAAGGAAAGGAAAGGAAAGGAAAGGAAAGGGAAGGGAAAGGGAAGGGAAAGGGAAAGCAAAGCAAAGCAAAGCAAGGCAAGGCAAGGCAAGGCAAGGCCAAGTAAGGCAAGGCAAGGCAAGGTAGAGAGAGACCAGGCAAAGCAGGACAAGGCCAGGCAAGGCAGGGACCTTGCTATTAAATATGACTGATGTATGTGACGAAGAAAGGTCTTACTAAATTCAGTTACCGTGTATACTGGGAAAACGGCATTTTAAAAGGAAACATAGATATATAGCACAGGTATAGAGATCTAAGGAGAGAATGGCAAACTCAATGATTTGTGCATATGTTGAATGTTTGTGATATTACAAAGTGCAGAATCGCAATCATAAATTTATCACATAATGTCAGAAAGGCTTTACTTGTGTATATATATTACTATGGCGGTAACTGTTTAACAGTATGACATGAATTAACGTAGACTATAAGAGAAAATGCAAAAAATCTGATATCGATTGTGCACATGTGTTAGTTATTTATGCTGGTATATATGCTCCTTGCTTTAATATATATAGTTGATAAAGCCTTAGATTGTTAATTCTTATGCAAAAAAAAAGTCATTGCCAATAAGAACTGTTATAGAACTTTGGGGTGGGGGGATGGAAAGGTATTTCTGAATGGGATTGGAGGTGGTGGTTATTTCAATGGTTTTTAAGGGTGGGGGGGCGGGGGGGGGGGGGTGCAATACAGTACTAAGAGCATGGGTCAATGGTTCAATGGGTCAGGAAAACAGGTTGTCTGTTCAAACTACATATTAAACGAAAGGGCCTCAAATTACCGAGGATATTTTAAAGGTTGAAGACTGTATATTGATATATAATAGGGGGATATATAATTTCAGAGAATTATAATTCTATGTGTATTAGTCACGCTTCCTTGAAAAATGACTTATATATTTTGGGCGAATATTTAAATTTATGCCCCTTTTATGTCCTTCCGTGTGCGATTCATAAACTTTATACTTAATACAAGGAAATGAAACATAAAAGAACAATATTGCCTTAATTTGATCAACTGAAATGAAATGAAATGGCCATGTATTCTCGAAACGATCCTAGCGCTAGGATGTCCTAGAATCAATGTTAGAAGATAACAACCTGGGACATCCTAGCGCTAAGATTGTGTAGAGAATAAGTGGCATGGAGTTGTATATCCTACATTTTGTACACCTGTTTTTTGGATGAGGACAGGGAATGCCACATGGTGTACAATGAGGGGAAATTTGCTAGAACAGTGACATTGGCTTACTCTTTTTCGATCCCAAATGTATTGAAGTCTTTAACGTATAGCCTGTAGCGCCCTGGTTTTCGGTGAATTGTAACTTGATCAGCTGAACGTGGGTTTGTGGTAAACATTGACATATTTGACAGCATGAATGCATATACCTGGAATTTCATGTGGATCAACCATCCATCGGGAGTTAAAAGCTCACCTAAGAATCACAGCCAACGCCTTGTTTCAATACTAGCCTACAATCAATGGTTATATAGCTTACAGAATACAGAACCAATAAATCTATCTTACCATCTAATGAGCTAACATTTTTATCTCGTAATAAAAGGCCACGGTTGGATTTCAAAGAACTCTTCCATTTCTGAGAGGCAAGCTTCTGCATAGTCCCGGACACCTGTTACACTGTTTGTGTCGCAACGATAACTGTTATAATAATAATGTACGTATTAATTAGTACCTATTGACAGTGACAAACTTTCTAATAGTCGAGATTATCAAGTCGAGATTACTTGTCATATTAGTATGTGATAATCAAGACATCAAATCAATTACCGAAATCGGCTTACAAGCTATGGGTGTAAATGAGTGTAAATTGAAAGTATGTGGCGGTTAGGGGAGGGGAGATTATAACTAAGAACGTATTCAAAAACTCATAACATTTCAAGCGCTTTTTAATAATTATGGATTTATCTGATAATAATGCAGGTAATTTGTTGTAGAGTTATGACACTTTGAAAGTCCACTGATGAATATAGACATGTACTCTCATTAGCCAAGTTTGAGAATTTAAATTTAACATAATTTTAAGAGGTAGAATTCCTTTAAGTAGTCTTTTAAATTTTTCAGATTTTGCTTCGATTTTGATTTCGAAATAAGACAATCGTAGGGCACTCTAAAATCACACTAGCTCGTACGGAGACCATAATATGTTTAACCTATGTAAAGAGATATAGAAGTAATATGAAATGCCAATTAAATCTATTATTAATAATACTGGTAATAACTCTTTGTTTATCTTGAACATTACTGATAAATACGTTGCTATAGTAACAAATATTGACAATAATACAGATTTTACTGTTTTAACTATTTAAATAGATGAGTGAAATTATAGTTTCGTGACGTTTAATATTGATATTTTGAAAGAAAATTATTTAGGCCGATGTTTGTTATATGACGCATAATTGTCCGACTTTTGTCCTCCGTATTTCTAAATCTATCTATACGCATCATTATTTCAGACATGACTGAAGCATTCATACAATCAGACATAGTCTGAACATTTGTTAGTTTGAACAATCATACAAAGGCGGAACATTTTTATAAAGACATGAAATGTATGGTAGGCGGAATGGCTTTTTATTCAATGTTCTTCATTGCTATTTCTTATTTGTTAGTTCTAAATTCTTATCTCTTAATTTGCACGCTTAATTCAACATTTGTCATTGAAAATTGGCATTTGTATACAAAAATCATAATTTGTACTGAAAATGAACATACTTCGATAAACATTCGGTTTTCCAATTATTGAATTAATAGAATTCTTGCCAAGAATATCCTCACATATAAATCTACAAATACAAATTTTCAATGACAAATGTTCAATTAAGCGTGCAAATTAAGAGATAGCAATGAAAAACATTGAATAAAAAGTCATTCCGCCTTCCATAGGAATCAGTACACAGATAATTTCTGAACACCATAACAAAGGTATCATCTGAACATCAGTGCAAAGACATGGTCTTAACATCAGTACAAGGTATGGTCTTAACATCAGTACCAAGATATGGTCTTAACATCAGTACAAAGATGTGGCATTAACATCAGTACAAAGATATGGTCTTAACATCAGTACAAAGATATGGTCTTAACATCAGTACAAAGATATGGTCTTAACATCAGTACAAAGATGTGGTCTTAACATCAGTACAAAG